GAAATTAATCTTTTGGAAAAAGTTTAAACTTAATAAAAGTATTTTAGCTTAAGTAACTAATTTCTAAAATATAATGAATATAAATGATTCAAAATAAAATCTAATTTCTAATTTTTTGCGATAATTTGACTTAAGAGTTTGTCAAAATGCTAAATAAAGCCTCTATTGCACAACTAAAACTCTTTTCGGATTTTTTTACCAACTATAAAATGTTTATTTATTACATATATGTATATATATGTAGCTTTTTTCTCAATTTCTTTTTACGATTTTATTAGGTTCTTCATCCACGTGTTCTATTAGGCTTAACTTTTAAACTTCGCTCTTTTTTCTCTCTATTATGTCGAAAATTTCTGCTGTACGGGGAAGGTTGGATCCACAAAGCATTGCTTAACCCTAATTCGTGGCCTAATTCAGCGATAGCTTTAGAAATCATAATAGTTCTCCAGTTTAGTCCAATGACTTTTTGTATCTACATTTGTTGTGTCTGCTGAATTCCAATTTCTTACTTCTTTAGCACTGTAGGTTCTAGTACTTCTTCACTTTTATTTTATTATACTATATATATATATATATATATATATATATATATATATATATATATATATATATATATATATATATATATATATATAGCAGTAAATAAATTAAGAAGACTAATAAATCCTAAAACATCTCAAGGTCAAACCGAAAGAACCAAGAACATCGAATATATAAATAGCTTCTCTCAATAAACAGAAAAATAGAGTCGAAATGACAGAAAAGGCTACAAACTTTATCATTCTGATTCTTAAAAAATTGCATGAATTTTAAAATTGTGAATATTATTTCATGTATTGAAGTTAGAAAAAACAAATTTTTCTAATTAGTGAAACAGCTCACTTACACATAGAAATTAAAATTTTGTTTAAAATATCTAAATTTCAGATAACCTTACATATACAAACCATTTTTAAAAATAGAACTTTGTCACGACCTTACGATCATTAGTGAAGTAAGAGACAACGAATATATTCAGCCATTGTAGTAAAATCAATATATTTATTAATCTTTCAAATTAATATCAAGAAATGTCATAAGCCGTTGGAGTGGTCAACTTAATCGCTATCCAAAAGTTCTAAGAAGATTAATTAAATCATTTACCTGCTTACGATGCGAGGAAACAGTACTAATCAGGGCCTGACCGGTATTACTTGATGAATCTTACTAAATATTCACTTCACGCACTCCGAGAACTTCAGATATTATCTATTCACTTTGATATTCCAACTTCAAAAGCAGCCTAACGACTAACTCCTACACTCACTTCACTACAGTTTAAAAAACACTCAAAATAACATAAATCCCGGTTTTCTTACAGGAAGCGATTTTATAAACATACAACAGCATTAAAATATTTTTCCCAAGCGGATTAGTTGATGGCGTGTTACAACTTTTTTACTGTATTTTCAAGAAAGACGAGCAAACAAATAAGACTAAAATGAAATTAACTTATTTTCTTTACATTAGGAAATAATAAATCTTTTAAGAAAATGAAAATAAATCACCGTGAAGTACGACATATAATGAGTACTTTTAACACAAAAAATAAGATCGAAATTTACGGGTGCGCGTTATACGCCGAGTATAAATATGAAAGCTTGAAAATTTTAAAAAAAAGATGAACATAGAAAAAAAATTAGACTTCTACATATACCGAAATAGTCTTTATTTAATAGAGATGACATTTTTTATGAACTTAAAGGGTTGTAGTTCTAGAAGTATATTATTTTTCCAAAAGCCTGCAATAATACATATAATAAATGACTTCAAAACATACGAGCATTGCATACGTGATTTCCAAGATTCTTCTAAAAAAAGGGGGTCCACGTTATACGGCGAATGTATCTAAAAATAAAAAATTGTAGCTCTAAGGTATGGGTGCACGTTATACGCCGGATTTTTCAGCACATTTTTTTTTAACAACCAGACTAATGCATATTTTCAAAGAAAGACCACTAACACTAATGGTAAACATATCCAATGGAAACACCATTTCATTCTTTCATCAAATGATTAATCAAATTCTTTCATCACAGAAATAAATTCCTTTAATTCGAAGAATTCACAATTAAATTACTTCTTTATATTCATTTTCCATCTGTTGTATTCTTTCTTAGTATTGATTAAATTAATTACGCTCGTGTTGTGTTATAAAATATGTAGCTCTTATTGAAAACAAACGTTCACAACAGATTTCATTTCAAATACGTCAGTTATGTCAAATTAACAATTTGATGACAGAACTTGTCTCAAATTAGGCATATTGGAAATAATTAGCAGCAAATTAATTTTATTTATGATTTAATTAAAGGATTATTTCATTACTAAAACACTATTAATATTTTTTCGTGATTTTTATTGTATTAATATAAAACTGAGACAAAAAAACATCTATTGACATGTATTGAGTTAAGAATACAGTAACCTGCCAAAATTCTGATTTTTTAATTCTTCATCTAATTTGTTTTTAGTGAATTTTTAACTAGTATTTACCATTGTTTTTAAAGAATTGGAGAATATTTTGTATAGTTGGAATGAAATTAAATAAATGGAAAAAAATACAACAAAATTGAAATATATATATATATATATATATATATATATATATATATATATATATATATATATATATATATATTTGCTAAAAAAAATTCATATTATTCTAGTACTAATTTCTAACGAGATTTTTCAATAGTATATAATACTTAAAATTAAAATTAAAGTTTCTATTCATTGAAAAAACCAGCTTTATTTTTTGTATGAATCGCAGAAAAAAAAATTATTTTTTCTAATGTTTAGTATATGTGAACTTTTCTAAACATTCGAAGTATTTTCCTGAGCAAGCTTTCTTGATATTTGCTAAGTAAATATAACTTTATTTGTAGAATATAAGATACAACTGAAATATTTGTCGAATTTATTACAATGTCGCTCTAGCAGTCAATAAAATATCCCTACCATTTATGATTTTCTACGAATCTATCTGAAAAATGACTATATTTATCAGAATAACTTTTGTCAGAAAAATTTTATGGAATAATAATTGTGATTTGGACTTAAGACAATTTTAATTACCAATTTTATATTTTAAAAGAAAGAAAAACCTAAAATTTGCATTAGTTATATTATAAATAAACTATGTAAACATGTGTAATGGTCGGCCCGCGATGTCCGTTAGTGTGGGTGAGTCGGAAGGAAGACTAGCCATATTCAAAATAACTTCTACTTATTTACTATTATGAACAACAACACAAATTCTATTAACCAAGTTAAGAGATGCACCAACTTCTAAATATGAAAAGCAATAGCGAGGTAGATGAGGTACGAGAAATCTTAATAAATCGGATCACTTACTTCTACGTAATATACCTTCTAAGTCAAAGCGACCTAATCCAATTTAATCAATATAATTGACCAACTCGTCAATTTTAATAATACACAAATAAGCTACGAAGTACTCACGCCTCACTTAACCAATCACTGCTATCCGTTAGCAGTCTAACCTCTCTCTCTCAAACTCTAAAGTTTAATTTTTATATACAGTTCTTAATTTACATTTTCCCATCTTCTTCTTCAGAGGAAGATTTATAATAGAATAATTTTTAAAGACCTAATATTCCCCAAGAGGAGATTAATATTTGAAGAAACACGGACAGACTCGTCACAAACAGATTATATACTAATAATCGATTAATTTATAACTGGATAATCATTTTAATTTTTATTTAATATTTTAAAGTGAAGCATTGTTTTTTGTGGCTGTTAATTTCTTTTTAAAAAAAATATCCATTTTAATACAATTTTATTTATATAAAGTTCTTAGTTTAAATAAAATTAATATTTTTTTAAAAATTTGAGGTTTTTAATTTAATTTAATTTTTTCGAGTATAAATCAATAATTTAAGTTTTTGAATATGCATTATACCTTAAGAATTTAGATTATATCATTTAATTCTTTCAATATTTATAGAAAAAGCTTTAAACACTCTTAAATTATTCATATTTAGTTTATAGTTAAGACGAGAAAATCTTAAAAAGAAATCTGGAGCATAGTTAATAGAATGTGTTATAAAACTTAAACCGAAAGAAAATGAAAAAAGTCTGACATAAACTAATACGCTTTGTAGTCGTTCCTTAAAGATAACTGTGATTAACTTCTTTTGCATCTGAAAATAAGAGTAAAAGCTTTGCTTTTAAAGAAATTCTGGGGAAAAAATAGGATTACGGAAGCTTATAGCGTTTGCTTCTGGCATTTTTCCTGAATTGTTCCGGGAAATTTAACCATTTAATGGCATGCTGGCTGAAAATAAATATGAAGTCTCTAGTTATATATATATATATATATTGTGTAAATTACAAATAATGGAAAAAGTTTCGAAGACATTTATCTTTATATTTAGTGTACTCCTAAAAATAATCTTCCAAATTTAAATGCTCATTTAATCCCATGTATTTTTTTAGAAAATAAATTCATAAAATTTTTCCAACTAAGTGTTATTTATATATGTGGAAAAGTATTATAATAGCCAACTTTTGCACAGTATTATTAATTGTAATACATGTATATTGCTTAATTAAATATTGGTAAAATGTTATTGCATTTAATTATTTTGACCTCATAATTCAGGCGAATCTTTCCGAAGCTGGAGTATTTAAATAGTATGAGATGAAGTAACCATGTTTGTATGCCTTAGTAACATTTTTCAATTCCTACTATTAGTTCACCACACTCTCCCTGTGTGTGTGTGTTCAAGTTTTCAACCGTTTATAAAATACTTTTTTCCATCCACTCAAGTTCAATTCAATTTTTTTAACTTGTAGTGAATGAGTGGATGACTCTTGATGTTAAAACAGTTTTTCAAATATTAATTCATTTATTCTATTTAATTAATGAATAAATACTAACAAACAAAAATAATAGTCCAACACCATATATAAAAAGTAAAATCGCTCGTTATGTCCCAGTAGCGCAATGGATATCACGTTGGAATTCTAATCCAAAGGTCGTGGGTTTGAATTCCACCTGGGATGGCCTAATTTCTGAGAATGTGATTTCTTTTTACTATACCATTTTATTGGAATAATTAAATTTAATGGATGAATAAATATTAACAAAAAATAGTCCAAAGTCGCTTTCTATTTTGCCATTTAATATTGTGAGTCTTTCATATGTATATACATATTTATATCAGTTGTAATTATTTAATAAAGAGTATCTAAAATAAAAATTTTCTTTTTGACCTAAGTAGGTATTGTCTTAAAATTTTTTTTATATTACTTGTTTTACATGAAGTGATGCTTAACATTTATATCAAAATTTATCATTCATATTATTTGCAAATTTAAGCGATCAAGGCTTTATTTTATATTATTGTTGAATTACTTTAAAGATATTTTATATTTATTATTTATCAGCAAGTAATATATATTTTTCTCCTTTTTAACAGCTTAATTTTTAAATCTTATAAATGAAAATGTTTAGACAAAATAAAACCTTTTTTTTTATATGTGAAATATTTTAAACATTTGTAACTCTCATTCTGTTACTTATGGTGCTACATAAAAACCCATAACACATTTCATCGATTTTGATGTATATTGATGCAAATTATTTAAATAATAACTGATTTATTAATAAACAAGTACGAACACACACAGCTGACTACAGTAAGACTAATAGACGTATATACACTTAGAAATATTATAACAGATTATTCACAATAGTGCAAATCGTGCTCATTGTAAATGTCGCCGGGAAATGGCGAAATTAGGAGTTTCATCAATCCCTAAGGGATATAATTAATTGACGGGAGATGTTAAAATAGCGTCTCTTCAAGGTCATTTCCCTGATAAAAGTAAGCAATTTTATCAAATCTTTGAACTATTTCAGCGAAATGATGAAATGAACTAGTTAGAATTAGGATTTGCATTGGCAAAATGCTATACCGGGGGAGGCGAGTCCTTGTACTTATTAACCATACAGGTAGTACTATCGATCCCTTAAATATCAGCCCCATATCTTTAAAAAAAATGGCATCAAAGGATTAACATAAGGATTGATTACCAGCCTAATTTTCTAATTATTTGTTAATAAGTTTCGAATAAATAATTTGTATTTCATTGACTATTGTTGTATTACTTACATCTACGTTTAATAATGCACCATATTTGTTAAGTAAACACTTTTAAACACTTGGCAATATTATTTCATCATTTCACTAAAACAGCTCAGGGATTCGTTGAAATCCCTTTCTTTTATCAGGGAAATGAAGAGAAGCTATTTTAACATCTACTGTCAAGTGATCCCTTAGGGATTTTATGAGATTCCTAATTTCATCATTTTCCTGCGACATAAACAGGCTTTGCTACATTCCAGAAATGATTTTCTAAACAGTTCCACCAGCTGGACTTCAAACAAATGTCTCTATCGCTGTCAATGCACACAATTGAGCTCTCTTCTAAACTAACTTGATTTCTGTTTCAAAGATCCTTTATATAAGCTCATAGGAATTACTAGAAGGGTCGATTCTAAAGCATTTTCGATGATTTTTTGGCGATGTTATTCGCCCCTTCGCCAATCTGGTAACCTTGATCTCATCTTCTATGGTTTCAATGAAATTTTTTAAGTTCACGCTGAGAAGTAAGCTTTTCCTGTAAAAACCACCTTATCTACAAGGAGAGCACCGCTGCAGGAAAAAGAACGCACGTGACGTGTTTCAGTATTAATTACTTCACCTACTTAGGTTATATTAAATATTTCGTCTAGTTCGATATATATTGAATATTTCATCTTATTTATATTATCCTTCGACTTATTTTTAGTACTTCGTAGATAATCACGAACAATGTATTAAAAATATAAAATGTAAGAGTCCCTTTATACAAAGGCTTTTCTTTCTAAGTACTTTATTACAAATTAAAGGAATCAAACAATATAACACCTCAATTATGAGGCAAGATCCTATGGGGAAACCAACTAAGCCATGATGAATTTTTCCTATTACAACTTCAGTTTAATATAAATCAAGCATCTTTACAAATTAAAGATGCTTGATTTATTAAACTGAATAGAAACTCCATAACTTGAAATCATTTTTGAAGATCAACTTAAGCAATTTTTAGACCTTATTAACGAGTATAGATCTCTCGGGAGATAATAATGTCAAATAAATGCTAAGTATTTTTTAAACAACTAACAGATGCATTGAATATTTCTGGTTTTCTTTTTCTTTGCTTCTAAAATTTGAGATGTTTCATTCTCAAATAATAAAAAGCTGTTTAGAATTGAAAATTCGACTTTATATTAAAATATTTTTAATGATACTCCAATATAAAAATAATAAAAATAGCGATTTCGTAGGTTAAAATGATAATACCTAAACATAAATCTATTTATGCTATAAAAAAGCAGAATGTAGTTCATCCGCTTTAATAACAGGTATATGAATAACATTTAAAGGAATTAAATAAGTTTATATATTGATAAAGGATTTGAATAGTTTATAGCAATTTTCTCTTCAAATTGAATATGTTTCGCTTAAACATATTATTACATACGTTAACAAGAAACATGTTATCTATTGTATTTATTATTTAAACTAAGTATTTTTTTCACAGTTCATAATTCATTCATACGAAGCATTAATTGGCTCTTTTAATGTGAATTTTAGACACGTCTCTTCATCAACGAAGTACTAATGTTTCTAACGTTTATTTGCAGTTGGCACGAAAGTTCCTGGTGTAGTTCGGAAGCCAAAATCGCCTGCCCAAATGGTAAGTCTTTCAATTGCTTCTTCTTAATTACTTTCAAGTTACACTATACCTATGTTAATTTCAAACCATGTTTCTTAATATTAAACTGTGTGTTTTGAAAGCTACGTTAGTTTAAAGGTAAACTCAATTACTGACTGCTTTTCCACGCAGAAAGATTCCACGTAGAAAGAACTCTAATAATGCATTCCGATTTCATTAACTTAGTGTATCGTCAGATTGTACTGTAATACTCCTGTTGTACCAGACGTCTTAAGACTTCCTGAGGTCCTGGGACCCTACACAAAAGTAGGCCCCAGATAGGACCCTTTAACGTAGACAGTACATAGCATACGTTGCCAAATACTCGTACAAACAATAATCGAAACAAATAAATGTACATCACTTAAAATCGTACAAATCGGCTCGACCGACTGCCGCCTTTTGACTGAATGAGTAATAATGGTCTATGGTGGTAGGCCTAGGTCTGTACGTGGACGACGGTCATCACATGTAGCCAGTTGAAATATCCTCCGAAATTCCCAGTTTTTCGAAAAATATCACCAAAAATAACATTTTACAGTTGAAATTGTTCGAATCATGTTCTTATTTAGGCTAAGTTGAGAACAAGACTAGGCCCCCATTGAGGCCGGAGCTCTGAGCCAGGGCCCAGTTGTCCCAAGCCTTAAGACGCCCCTGTGTCGTACAGGAAAAATTTATTGTTTCTTTTGTCTCCAACTTATAATCTTTATATCAAATTAAATTTTGACTTGTCATGTTTAAGCAATAAATACCTATAAATTATATCTATATTTTTGAAGATGTATTCTACGAATACTGATACATAAACTTAGGATATAATTGAAACATTTTTCTGTTTGGAGAAAATGTTCTAAATATAATATTCTTTAGCAGAAAGCACACCTCAGATGTATGTGCATGCGTGTGTCGATTTCGTAGGATTTAAAACGTTTACTGGGATAACTTTTATTATGCTGTGATCGTTGAATAGAGGAGGAAACATTTTTAGCTTGACATTAATTGAAGATCCTACACATAAAGAGACAAAATGAACAACACCACAAACATATATGGTAAAGACAAAGACAACAGGGAAAAAAGACTAAGGCATCCTTATTTCGTTCCAGATATCTCAGCTTTTATGGCTTCCTCAACTGGAAGCTTTGAGAATCATATGATTCCCGCTAGTGAATACTATGATTGGTTCAGAAAAAATGAATTATTGTATATTGCATCATGTTATTTTGAAAAGGCATGTTTAAGAAGATACAGTAGTAGTCATGCAAAGTCTTGGAGGGCTCAAGACTATCAGGAATTAAATAAAATCCCTCGAATCTCTCTCTCTCTCTCTCATTACATGTATATAATCCTCACCTCAAATATTGGATATGTATACGCATTTAATTTAGACCGGATGGCATTTCTCAAATAATATACTTCACAGCTTTCTTAACATTTATACAGGATTTTATAACATTTGCCAGATAACTAAAATACTCGGGATCACATATCCCAAGGAAACTCGAATAGGTCGTCTGCCTTTGTTACTTTTTTTTTCTCTCGATTGTATGTAAACACCACACTTTTACATTCTCGCGCTTTCGAAGCACCCTTTACATTTAGGTTGTAACAACATATTTATATAATGGTCGTGTGTTTTTATAAGAGTACACAAACTCTGGATGTGTATTCATTAAATGAACACGTATGAATTTCAGAAACTAAAAACTGACATTGAATAAAATTAAGCAAGTATAAAATTTTCATAAGAGAATTTTAATTCGATTAAATTAATAGTTAACTGTTATCTTAAGGTATCCGACTACGTTCGGAACCGTGATTTTGCAAAAGCGTATAAATGGATAATATTTATGATATTTAGTGTCCCTTAGATTAGAAAAGACATATAAAATTGCTTTAAGAATATTGTTACAATAAAAAATTATTTAAATACAATATTTTGACAAAAAATTAACATTGAATTACCCATTTTCAACATATTCTCCTTTTATGAAAAATGCTTCTATTATAATAATATTTTGTCTGTATATAGCTCAAACGTCTGTACAGAGGCTGAACTAGAATTTTTGAAGTATATAAGTTAGACGTGGATTTATCCATATTTTACTACAGTAGAGAGGAGAAATTTTAAGAAAAAACGCCGATAATTATTTCAATTGGTTATAACTCTGAAAATAACGTGAATTTTTCAAAAAATCATCATTGAGCCTCTGTACAGAAGTCTGAGCTATACACAGGCA